GAAGAAACCGAAAGCTTCACCAAGTCAGTTGAAAAGTTCTAAGGACTCTGGAATGGAAAGTTCACGAAGACGTACGGTAGTTGCTGCAAGAGTAGACGGCAAGCTTGATCGGTGTTTCAACTCGGGAGTTCTTTGAAGGAATCGTCTTTGTCCGGCCAATCGGGGACGTCTTATTTGAGTTGCAAATACCAAACTGATAGTCTTCAATGCAAGTCAATTACCCTCCCTGGACGAATTGAACTGTGGTCACTCACAATAGACCGTGAAAGGCGCCAATCGCTTGGCCTCAACCTTGACAGTATAATCCACATCAGAGCTCGTGTAAGCAGTACCCGAGTCAACAACAGCTTCAAGAGTCTTGCTTGTGCTGATTTTCCAATCAACGCAGACCGGAGAGTCACTCTTCTTCACATAGTCTTCCGTGCTGTGGTCATACAGGGGAACGTAGCCGCTGACAGTCAAGTTGCTCTTGTCATTGTCAGCTGTTGGAGCAGCTCGCGTCCACAGGATGACGCTGTCCTCGTACGGATCACCGGAAGCCACGCCATGCGTGAAGTTCAGCTTGGCTGGATCCCAGTGGGAGTTGGAGTAGGTGCGCTTAGCGACCTTATTGATGGAGACACCAAGTGACGCATGGTGCTTCGACGGCGACAGGTAGTTGAGGTTACCTGTGAAGGCAGCCGATGCCGCAGTGGCTAGAGCCAAGACAGCAAAGATGGGCTGAACCATGATGACTGTGGCTGTCACGCTCTGGAGAATTGAGACGCGAATGAAGTGACCACAAAGACTTGAGCTTTTGGTTGCCAAGAAGGGACCATCATTAAGCTTTGACGGCGAAAGCCGCCATTTATGAGCTTTGGTTTACAAAAGTTTCCAGGCAGGAGAATACCAGGATGAGCTTCTGCAGCTTCCATCTCAGGCCGTTTGTTTTTCGCTCTTGATGGACGCCCGCCACGTGCGTTATTCAGACGGCCATGCTCGTGGGTAATCATCTCAACAGTGATTGGACATTGAATCCCTTCACCGGACAACAAGAATCGTTAGTCTTCTCTCAATGACGACAATCACCAGGGATTATCGCAGAGTATCATTCGCGAACCCCTCTTCTTATCAATCGTGCATGTGCTGAGATGGGCATAGGTTTACCAGGCTTGCAAGGCACGGAAATAAGTCCTCTTTATGAATGGCATATCTTGAACCGCGGTTCACACGTGCGCCCGGCTCTGGAGGTCATTGGTGGTCTTGGCGATGTGGGGCCGTCGCTCCGGTTCTTCGGCTCTACATAGCTGGGATCCCGCCTTTGTCAACTCGTGCATAGCAGGGTCGCGTTATCAATGATATATTGCTGAACAGAGATATCCTGTCTTCTCCATGGAAAAACATCGCTGTTTTGGAACACCGTTTTAGCATGACGTGGAACTAACAATCTGCTGGCGCATACTGTTTGTTTTCTAAGGTAAATGTATCTAGCTCTGAATACAATACAAGTCACTTCCCACACTTAATGGAGGCCGAAGTGACATTTACACCCAACAAGTAATGGCACTCAGCTTCGTATACTACACTCTTATGGTGCAATAACAAACATCGTCTAGCGCACATTGTTTCCTCCCATATTCACGCGTCAATTTTTTGGGGGGGAAATAGGTACATGTACCTGACATGAAAGACGTAACCCTTCGGGATGCAATGCTCGAGCTGATAAGTGTTCGATGAGAAATGAGACTCTCAAAGGACGTTGTTTTGGTAAGACTTGTACACAGTGAGGTGCCCAGCTTATGAAGTATGTTGGGCAATCACTTCGCTATGTAGACCAAGTAGATCGCTACCAATTGTATGTCTTGCTTGAATGCGAACAATCATGAATAAACAAATTATTGATTCGTGCACACAAAATCACCTCGTGCGATCTGGCCGATTGGACAGCTCTGCCCAGGTCCGGACTCATCAATTATCCACGACCATGCGTGAGCTCTGATATGGCTGGTCTCATCCCGAGCAGCCCTGCTTTCCGTGCGGAACAAGCAGAGGGTAAGACTCAGTAAGAGTGAGCATTCTCCATTTCATGCGTGTGAATCCATACGTGATAACAGACTCCCAGAAGAATACATACATATAAAATGAGGAAACATGGCTCGCAAAAAACGGCTTACTGAAGTACCAGGCTTTGAAAACAGAGTCTATGCCCATGAACAATCGAGCTAGCCGTAATGCACTGTAGCAGACCTGGAAGATGTAGTTCTGAAAAAGAATATTGAACTTGCAGTGGTATTGTTTCCAAGGTTTCAGGAACACTAACTAGTCCCTTGTCAAGAAGATTGAACTGAAAATTTGTCCGTGCAGAAGCTACAACAGGGGTTTGATTCGAACACACCATCCGCGAAAAGCTTATACCTAGTAACGAATAAGGGGTCTTTGAAAGTTCAAGACGGCTCAAAGTCTTGAATTGGGCTATCATGACTCAACAATTCCATGCCCTCATGGAATTCTTCGTAGAACAAAACGACTACCTCAGTCGATTAGACTTCGGATGGAAATACATAGGAAAGACCACTAATGGAAGGAAGACGACGGGAGGTATTGTAAATGCGATGGCAAGGCTCCTATTAGCAGGTAACATAAAGGGCAATACCACAGGAGCTAATGAAGTTACAGACATATAGATGATGAGGCGTAGAAAGGTTTTCGATTGGTACAGATGACCAATGACTGGGTCATGAAGCTGCCCGGCAGCCTTTTCTGAGGCTGATAGGAGCCCACGATCGTTCTGAAGTACGTCTGATAGTTTTTCTGCTGCTGTCATTGCTGCTTGATGCGGATGAATCGTAGAGCTTCCGACGGAGACTATCGCTGAAGATTGAGGAATTTGGGGTACTCTTTGTTCTTTAATACTAAAGTCAGTACATACTTTAGTCTGTGACAAAACTCTGGCCTTGTTCTCAGTACGACAGGTCTCACGCTTACCGAAGTACAACTGGAGAGCCACGAAAAAAGGTTGAGAAAGAAGAAGAACAGGGAGCAGTTGACCAAAGCCCATTTCTCGCTCAGCTGACCGTATTTCCTTCCCAACTTGACTCTTACTGGAGAAAAGCTGGTAGGTACCCCATGCCAAAGTAAATGCGAGTAGGAACAAAGTGAGCATGAAAGATTCCAAAAGCTCCAGCCAAGCAACTGAAACAATATAGATACTGATAATCGCCTTATAAAAGGCTCGTTTACGCCAGCCTGGCGGTTTCTGTAGTGTGCGCTTCGCGGCCATCTCGAGAAAGTACTCCAATTGGGATCTTCCCCAAAATCGTACCCAATCCCGACTACTGTCGAAAAATTGACACAGTTTCCAGGCGAAGGCGCCGATCAAGGAGACATACGAAACCCAGGAATCACTGTGTTTCTTTGAGCCATAAGTTCGCGTATCCCAAAAACAACGAACAGGTAGACCTGGTTGCATGAATCGCCAGTCAAAATACTCATGGCGCAAATTTCCGGGCCATTTCGATGAGACAGTCGGAACCAGGGCCACAAGAAGGAGTCCTAGAATCAAGATTATGGCGGATACTCGAATAGATCGTAGTGTCCTGCTGGCCCGTAGTCTATCTCGAAGTACTGATAATGACATGAGATGGACTGTTGAGCTAAGCCACGCCAGATATACAACGGCGTTCCAGTGATAGGCGCTAAGATTGGCCCCCAATGCTTGAGTATAACCGGCTATGAGGATGGTGAGGCCGGTCAGAAGCTGTTGATCGCTGAGCATCAGGACTAGCTCCACGAACATTTTCCTCCATCTATCTTCCGACTGTTCTGGGTGAGCGAAAAAGAGCCTTCGGTCAATATTACGAGCCAGACCCTTAGGCAAGGCTCCAAACCAGTAAGCCCATACGATGAGAGCAAAGACTAAATAGGCGGACACCACAAAGGCCGCGAGCACCTGTAGGCTATGTAAGTCAGTCCTCTGATATCATGTGAGGCTATCGGACTTACCCCATTCCCAGAGATGTCTGGGTTCGGGTAAACGGTCACCTCACAGTCTAGATAACGTGTACAATTGTCCACAAAAGCCTCAACTTGGCTGACTAGAACATTGGGAGAATAGCCTAGCTTGGGACCATCATTTCCACTCCAGTCAGTGGAGGTTTCGGTGGTGGTCCTCGTCACTGCTGCGGCCGCTGCAGTTCCGAATGTGCAAAACGTTATCGTCGTCGTCTCCTGGCTGATGAGCGTGGGTATCGCATTTGAAGTAGTAGACATTCTTTGTAGACGATAACTCTTGGCTGGTGAATTTTGGACCTGGTGAGTTTTGAAATCCTCATGAGAGAAGCACGCGGATGAGAGGGAAAACTAGGCTTGCTCGACCTTATGTGAAGTCTGCGGCGAACGTTTGTTAATCAGGCTGTTTGGCAGAAAGGCTTCGGGTAGTAGCCTAGACTGACGTAATCGAGCGAAGTGACGGGAGAAGTCTCATCTGATAGGCCTGATTAAGCCCCTAGTTTCCACCGCTATTGTGCAAGAGTACATTGCACTTTGTGCTTGTGGCACATCCCATGCCTCGGGTTGGGGTCTTGAGGGACAAGGAACCTTCGGTGCAGCCTTTCCCGCCCCCTTTCCTCTCCAGCCGTACTTGGCGTTGAAGATATCTATCATTCGTAGGCGACAAAACCTGCGGAAGAATGGAGACCAGCTAAGATTCACGCTGTACCTTTTCTAGGCTGCGGACTTGCTTCTGAGGTAGCTTATCATACATTGTTTGAGGTGATCAGTATTTTTCAGTACCATCCAACCAGGAGACCACCTGGGACAATGCAAAATACCTATGTAAGTTGGGGTCAGATCACAGTATGACTGAGCGTCAATCCTAAACGATGTGAGCGGGGTAGAACGAAGTCGGAGGATCTATTATTAGGAGCTGGGCAGTTCTAGGTCATCACTGCTGGGACCTGACTTGCTGACTGCATGAAATCCCTCCGTCGTTAGCCAGACACCTGACTAAAAAGTATCTATGCTCAGACAGATATGATTCCGGTTATCACAATCACCCCAGCCACGATCCATCCAAACGTAGGAATTTCGGCCTGAACCAAACCTCCTGAACGCAAATCAATGCGATCTTGTGCGGAGCAAACTACATGGTATCGCCCGCTTGCCTTCTCCTCAAGCTTATCGAAAGGCTCACATGAAAAAGAGCCTTCCGCATAGATTTGAAGGTATTCCGTCCGGTTGGCGAGCGCCTCTTTGCTGAGTTTGTTTCGAAACTCAAAGTAGGAATCGCTTCAACATATCATTAGTATTTTTCGTCCCACATCATCATCGGAGACACGAAAGAGCTTACAAAAACTGTTTAGACAAATTCCCCCTTAGGTAACTTTCTCCCATATTTGGCCGGGGCCAGTACCACGACCGTATCATCTCACCCTTTTCGGACACTCGATACTCTGTTGATAAATTCAAGTTGAGGTTGTATCCGATGTCGAGGCTGAAGTCTTCCCACTGCTCTGCCTGTGGTGGAACCGAAAGCCACACTAAGTCCCGTTCGTTCCTGATTGTGAGATTGCCCAGATGGTCGAAAGGTAAATCGAGATGCTGATAAAAATTGCCGCCGAAGCTACTAAAGCTACCCACACTCAATGTCTTGAGGTTTACTAGCCGCTCAATGCCGTTAAGGCTGTACGTTGTTTGAATACTGCCAATTGTTTGTTCAGTGATACCAGATCCGCCCAGCACCAGCGTGAGATTGTTTGGCATTCCGGATGTGCTATAGGCGAATTTCACCTTGCCAATCTTCGCGGCGCCAATCTGAAGGCGCTTGACTTTGCCTGAGTTGTAGATGGAAACGTCGTCCACTCCGAGTTGAGGTTCCTTGAAGAATGCGTCGAGAGACTCGAGACCGCCTAACCCGAGCTCCATGGATCTACCATCAATTGAACCGTCGCGATTCGTGATACCGGTGATATTTCGAAAGGCGCTCAATTTCAAATTCGTCAATTTGGGTGCATACATGAGTCGCATATATCCCACTGACTCTAATCGGTCGACGTCGAGATACTTCAAGCTTTCCAGGCCGTTAAGCACGAAATTTTCGCCGACCGATTGCAGTTCTGGAAAGCTGAGGCCTGAGATCCATCCGTCGTATGCTAATATCATCGAGCCGTTGACTCTTGTGATGGTACTGGAAGAGATGCTTGTGATATTGTGGTTGTATCCAATGCACTGCGCTGATACTTGTGGGCATTGAGAAACGTTCACAAGGTCGCCATGAATAACCTTGACTCCCTCGAGGGCAATCTCCTGGGCGGATGCTCCAGCGATGACAGTAACATTTCCAAAGATCTCGGGACAGTTCCGCAGTGCATCTGCATCCGCTTGTGACGTGATCACCACGGAACCACACTCCTGGCCGATGACTTCTGTTGGTTCAAAGGGTCGTTAGTCAAATCACGGGCAGGCCTCATTTCATGTCTTCTTACGATGATGCCCAACAATGAGGGCTAATAAGAACCCATTTCTCCAAGGCGACGACCCAAACATATTGCAAAGACCGAACTATAATCAGTCGCAAGCATACCTATTGAAGAGCGGGCGCTGACTTCCTTAAAGACAACCAAATTCCCCTGTTATTTCCAAAGCTCCACTGAATTAGCTACCTGCATTGGGGCACATGCCCGTTCACCAGGAGGTAGGGCTGGCAGAATAAGCTTAAGCCTGATGGTTAACACATAAACTGCTGCCTACCAAACCAACCGTCGGGATACTGGCTCCGATAGAAGGCTTGACCACAATTTCCTCACAAAGACCGGGCGCCTGCCCCTGGTCGATTTGGTGGACAAAATTACAAGCATCCCGAAGAGCTGAAATCGCAGGGCCTTAATGCAGGGTCAAATCGTCTGACCTGCCTATTAGGTAGTAGCTTCGTAGCTGCCAAGTCCGCCCTACCCGAGGAGGAATCTTGACCGAAGCCAACGGCCTCATCCGGGATTTCTCATCCGAACTTGAACCAGATAACACAAAATTCAGAAATCCACGACTTGTGCAACAACGCGTCTTGATTGTGTGTCAAGTACGCGAACTATAGAGGCCAACTTCGACGTCAATTGAATTTTGCGTTTGCAAATCACGTCCATGGCAGTCACAGAAAGTTCTGTAGAACTTGGTTGAGCGCCGAAACAGCACCCTGCATTTTCATTCCAATTCTGCCGCGGTCACCACCTGCCTGTTAGAGCACTGGCAGTTGATCAATTATGGAAGTCATGAAGTTGCAAGAGAGTTAGAATGTCATAGGCAGCACCAAGTGACGGATTGCAATGAACTGTTTGAGAAGACTTGGTGCTATGACAGACGTGATCCCCTAAGGTTCGTTGTCTTTTGTGAATCAAACCGCAACTTCGTACGACGCAGCATGAGTTTCGAAAGACTGTGCGGCGACTGGAATTGAGGGCACTTCGCGTGTTCTTGTTTCATTTTAAGACAGAAATTTGAGGCCAAGGCATTCAAGCAAGCCTTTGGGCCATAGAGACAACCAGACGATGAACTTACCTACTAACAGAAAGCTCGGTTTTTGGGTGATTCAGGACGATTCTTCTCAAACAGTCAGACTGTTTGCAGAACTGGGAGGCAGCATCAATTACCATCACTCACAGACAGGTACTAATGCTGGCTATGTGTAGGTTTCTCCGTAGTCTCCGGATCCGGGTTGGTGGCAAGAGGCTTATACCTCCATGATCTAGGCAGAGACTAAGTCGTTCTTTGGACACTTTCAGTGGCTTACAATACCGATTCTCATCTTGGCACTCGTGGTAAGGATCTTCTTCTCCGATGTTCCTCACCCGCTGGGCGCCCTCACGACTCAAGAACCCCGTCGGACTTTGAGTTTATTTCCCGTCGTAATACAAAACTACCGACGACATGGTCTCTCCTAACAAGATTTATCTTGGCAAGTATGCGACTTCTGGAGAAGCCTATCATTCTTGCTACAATTTCCAAGGATAGAGGGAGGCTCAGATGAGTGCCAAGTCGAGGTTAATCAATCTGAACTTTACGGAGTGTCTTTGCTGACGAACGCTTCCCTCACCACTGGGCTTAAAGGACTGGCGACATTCCATTTCAAGTAGATCGAATGAAATCATGTTAGATCTTGTTCCCTGATACCTCTGTTCTCTTCATACTGCCACTACCGTCAACATTTTCCTCCAATTATCAGCGACCATGAAACAACCAGTGTACATCCTATTGTTGCTCCTAACATTTGTCGTCTCCTCCGCGGGGACGATCGCACTCACCTTTGCACCATGCTACGCAACATTTTGCTTCGAGGACTACTTCGAATTCGAGACTAGATTACACCTTTTAGTCTACTTCGGCTTAGTCGCCGGCTTCGGCTGCTTTCTCCTCCTTCGATCTTATACCACGTGGGTTCATACCCTAAGTAGTTACCATCTCATGCGCATACCTTTGGGAGGTAAACGTGTCACTTTTGGTGGTCTTTTGGCAAGTATCTGGATAGTCGCGGTGGTTGCCTCCACGACTCTGTTCTGGCTGCCAGCTCAACGGGACTTCTGGGGTTTCAGAGCAGACCCCTTGGGATGGGCGAGTGCTAAGCTTAAACTCACGATCACGGGGGTGACTGGTCACTATGCCGATATCCTGCTCGGACTATTAGTGATCCCAGTTTCTAGGAACAGTCTACTTGGAAGGGGGTTCTCGTTGCATCACAGCACACTATTATATGCGCACAAGATCATTGCCTATCTCTTTTCGGTATCAGCAACCGCTCATGGAGTTACATATCTTGTAAGTCTTTGGTTCAGTCCCGGCACCTTGTGCAATTTCTAACAGGTAGTAGCTATATGCAACAGATTCCAGCAGCGACGGCGATGAGGCAAAGGAGGAAGCATTCGCCACAGGCAATCCGGCAATGACTCTGTCGGAGAGCAAGCAAAGAAGCGAATGGTTCACCATGACCACATACACCGGTATAGCTGCCATCTTGCCCGTGTGGTTGATCATCGTCACCTCGCTTCCATGGATTCGGAGAACCCACTACAACTTCTTTTATTACACCCATGTCATATTCGGTCTGATCAATTTCGTCGCGGCATGCATCCATGCCAGTACCGACTTCTATCTCCTTCTTCCGGGACTCTACCTCTGGGTCGCCGACTGGACATGTAGACTCTTTGGCGGACAGGCAGGCGGTCTCGCCTCGAAAACCGGTGCGACTCTGGAAAATGCAGGCAACAATTGGCTCAGGATATCCACACACCTGCCAGTCTCAAAGAACGCATCAGCGAGCACTTTTGACCTCGTCCAGGAGAAGGGAGAAACTCTGCACGAACCTCTTAGCTACTACTATCTCAGCATCCCATCCATCAGCAAATTACAGAACCACGCATTCACCGCTGCAGTTTCTGCTTCCACCGGAGCTGGTCCCACTTTCCTCTTGCAACCCACTACCGGAAAGAAGCAAAAGAGGCTGAACAAGGAGTGGACTTGGAGGTTGGGCGCTCTCGTTCCTCAACCATTTGGGAGCACACCTCTTGAAGTCCGAGTTGAAGGGCCCTACAGAGTCGGCGACGACGGATTCAAGAGTGCCTTCCACATCGTCTGTATTGTAGGTGGAACAGGAATCACCGGCGCCTTGAGTCTAGCATCATGGTGGTTGGACAAGAGGCCAGCGAACTCCGCCTTCACTCTCGTATGGGCTGTGCGTCATAAGGAGGCTACGACGATCACGGAGTGGGCTCAACTTCAAGAGGCAGCATCTTCGGTTCCGGAGCTTACTGTGATTGCCCACGTGAGTTCGGAAAGTGGCCGTCTGGATCCCACCTCATATATCCGTGGAGCTCTCATTGCCGGCCAGCACACAAAAATGGATTCCGCCGGACATGCTTGGGTCTACAGTTCTGGCCCAGCAGGTCTTATTAGCACCGTTGAGAGGTCGTGTGTTGAGGCTCGGAAGGGTATCGTTGCTAGTAGAGGGGGGAGGAGTTCCGACTCATGGAAAGTAAACGATCTGGGCTGGTACATGGCGAAGTGGGAAGTCTGAGGTTTTCAACTCCCCCAAGCTTACTAGGTAGATTTTCTTTGTTATCTGCAAATTGCTGGGTTTTCTTGTCTGCACGTGGGTTAATTGGCAGCAATGACAATTGTTCCTAGCGGACTCAACTATTTTAGACTCTACTTTCTTATTTCTCATATGGAAAAGTTGAACAGTATCAAATGCACATTTGAAGTGAGAGCCATGCGCAACGTGGACGCACTTGTTCCGATCAGCTGAATAAGACTACATGTAAAACTCAGTGGTTGTTAAGTAGAGTACTCAAGTACGATATTACTTTGCGAGAAATTCAGTTGGGGATACACTACGCCCCGATTTCCTTCACAACCCTCTTGACAACCTCATCCAGATCTTCCTCTGACACACCAAGCTTGGTCATGTCGGTGACCTTGGCGCTGTAGTCACCGCCCCAGCCCTCGCGCATGTGGTTGACATAGAAGCCAACCAACATAGCCATGTGATCCCCGTTCTTGAACTTCTCGTTCGAATCAGCCACAACAGCCTCTGCGTCCAAAATCTCAACCTTCCAATCCGCCTCCTTCGTGCCCGTAGCTCGCAGGATGTTATCAAGCATATTCCTCTGGCTGATATAAAAAGACTTCAAGTACACAGGCCTGTTCCGGAACTGCTCAAGCTCAGCATCGGGCAAGCTCAGAACACCAGCGGTGGCCTTTCCGGTCGTGCCAATAGTGGTGGTGATGAACTTCGTGTTTCCACCATCAAACAGCTTCGCAGAGCGGTTCTTGATATCGATGCCCCAGAATCCCTGACCAAGAGACCAGTCGAACCAAGGGTTGTTGACAATGGCGATCCAGCTCATGCCCAGCTCCTCGGTCAAATCGCGGAACTGCTTCTTGCCCGCGACCATGGGGCTGGCCTCGAGCAATTTGGACGGCGCGGGGTCGGAGCCGAATTCGGTAGGCACGACCCACTTGACGCCGGCCTTGGCCGCAGCACGGATGAGAGGCGCCTGGCCCGTCATATAGCTGTCGAAGCCGAGTTGGAGGATCAGCACATCCTGGCCTTGAAACGCTGAAACCAGGAAGTCCTCGTCAGAGTAGTCGCCCTTCTTGACGATGACGCCGGCTGGGAGTGTGGCGGAGGATTGGGCGCGGGAGACGGCGGTGATGGTGTGGATGCCCTTGTCGAGGAGGGCGTTGAGGGTGAACCCGCCGAGGTTACCACTGGCACCGACGATGGCAATCTTGCGTCCTTGTTGTCCAGACATTTTTAGATTGAATTTTGAATTCGAAGTGATTCAATGCTGAATGACGATTGAGAATTGGTGATTGGCGATTTATAGTAGAAGTTGATTCTTAAGCTTCGATACTTAACTTGTCTTTATGTTTGAGTGATTGATCTGTGGTGTTCTGCTGCTCTCCTTCATCCACAAGAGGGCAGATGCCATCCTTTAATATTTCTGACATACTGACAGATTCCAATGAGACACAAGTAGTGTTCCCGTTTCCGTGCT